CCATAAATATTTATTAAAATTGAGTTTTTATTCACTAAATTCTTCTGAAATAAATACTAAATATTCATGATTTTTTCCCAAATTGTATTATTTGCAGCCCAACAAAACTGCTAATTCAAAAAGTCTTAGTGCTTATATTTCTAGAGTATTCTATACTTTAGGCTACGTCTAATGACTACCATAGTATTAGTAACGCACTTCCGCCTCAGGCCCAAGAACAAGCTCTATATGTGTATGTGTGTTTCTTTGGGAATGGCTGTGGCAGCTGATTGAACATTTTTCAATCAACTGAGCGCAGTAGTCGGCGCCCCCAGCAGCTAATTTGAGTGCCAAAAAGAGCCGATGAGAATTGAAGGCGTTTGCTCATCGAGATCTCTGCCAAACTGGTTTTTCCCAATAGTTTTTCTCTGCTATCGATGACTAAAGCGAACTAACAGCAAATGAAAGCGAAAGAGAGAGACTGCAGAGACATGATAAGGAAAAAAGAAAAGTTGTTTGCCGTTAAAGTCGGGCGATTGCCGGGCCATGGCTATTTGTAGCTGGTTTTCATTTGCTTGGCTCCAATGTTGGTCAAACGCTTTGCCATGTGCAATTTTTTCTTCTCTCATCTTCACTGATTTTTTTTTTTTCTCATTTTTTGCACTCGCAGCAGCTAATAGCGAAAGTCGTTTTCAGCTCGTTTCTTATGTGGGCCAAATGTGCAGCTGCTAGCCAAAAACAGGAAAAAAAAAATGGGACAACAAAGAACTAGGCAACAGGCTAGCCCCAAAGAGCAGCTGTGATAAGATATATATAATGTATATATATATATATATAAATATATATATGGGTATATATATAATGTATATTTGGGCCAGCTTCAAAGTTTGTTTGATAAATGGTTTCCATTGTGGCACAGACTGCGATATTTCGAACTTTTTACGTTGGATTGAGGCTCAGCTATAATTTATATTATATTAAATTGGTTTCAAAATCGTTATTTATGTCTTATATTTGGATGGACAAGAATATACACATATGTATATATTTCTTATAGTCAAATTAAAATTGTTTCTTATGTTCTCAAAATGAATATTTATTAAAATACTAAAAGAAAAAAAATGAAATAATATATTTAATATTTATATATTACAAATTTCAAAATATCGTAAATTAAAAAAAAAAAAATAAATAAATAAAAATAAGTAAATAAAAATATATATCGTATATATAATTAATTTTTAAAAAAATTAATTTGTGTACAATATAATTTAAAATAATTTTGTAAACATGAAAATTTACAAATTACAAATCAAAAATTTAATTCAATTATTAGTTATTCTTTTTATATTTTCAAATTTTCTTAAATATATAAACTATGGGAATAATTATATACATTAAAGACATAACAACTTTATAAACTCTGTGTTTAATATGTTAAAGTTCAAATAAGCATGATTTTGTAACGTTATTCATCTTTACTTGGTATACCAATCACAAATATATATGTAGTTCCAGGCTTTGCTTAAACATTCTGTTTAATTACCTCTCTATCCCTATCTATATCTTCCCCACTTAAAAACAATTTTCTGTTTGCTTAAAATTATTTCTCTTTTTTGTTCCACCGAGGGAATCATCTTCCATTTCGTTGGCATTCATTTTGAGTACCCATCCCCATAAACGTCATCCCCACCCCCAACACCAACCCCTTCTCGCAATTTAACTTTTTTTTTTGCGTATTTTTCATGATTTTGGCGCATTTTAAGTAATTAAAATTCCTCAGTGATAGCAAATGCATATTTGCCATTCTCCCTGTCAGTTTTCTTTCTCTCTCTGTCTCTCTTTCGACATGTATTTCAAATTGTATAGACGATTGTATATGTATCTGTAAATGTGTCTGCATTTGTGTACAATTTGTATCTGTGTTTTGACCGCAGCTATTCTGACTTTATTCTCATTTTCCTATCGATTTTTGTGGTTTTTTGAACGCAATTAACCTTCGGGCTCTGAGCTCTGGGCTCTGGGCTCTCAGCTCTGGCTCTTAGTTTACTCTGAATATTCCCAAACTTTTTGACCAGATAAGCAAATTGTTGTTCTAGTGGTTGTTGTTGTTGTTGTTAATACTGTTGCTGTTGCTGCAGTGAAGTTTTCCCTAGCTGTCGACTTGTGTCAATTTTTCATTTGTATTTACTTCTGCTAATCCTTGCCAATAATTTGATGTGGTTCTTGGCTCTTCATCGCCCCAGTCGATGAGGTCTGTTAAATTTGCTAACAAATATTTGCGGCATTTGGATTAGGCTCTCGGCACTCGACTCGACGTTCTCTGAACTATTTCTGCAACGATTTTGGCTGGCATTTTCAGTGAATTTGTGGTTTTCGTGGCTTTCGAAATAAAGCAACAAAGTATTAATTAAAACAAAATCGTTTTAATATCATTTGTTAGCAATTAATTACATTTGAGCCATCTTCAAAGGCATAAAATCGAATTCAATTTAAGCAGCTTTTGATGTAGGGATTAAGGAATAGTAAGCTTAAAGTAATCTTATCTACGAAATGTCTATCGAGATTTTGCATATATTAAAGAAGGAGCTTATTCAGTGTAAAATTAGCGCTAAAAATAAATCATTTAAAAAAAATATATAAATAAGTTTATTTATTTAAATTATAAAAATATATATATTATACAAATAAATTTATGTATTTAGAGATAGTTATATTAAATTTTGAATAAATAATTAAATTATTTTAGTAAAATTTCTTAATATTAATTTATATGTATTATCGATAACTGATTTTTAAAAATATTTTCAAGTGGATAATTTTATTTAAATTAATTTTTATACTAATTTAATTTTAATATATATATATATATATATTTTTTTTTTTTTTTTTTTTTTTTTTTTGAAGCCTTTTTACAGTCTCTCATAATGCTTATAGCTTCTTAATATGCATCATGTACGTCATATTGATAACTGTAACCTTATATTAAATATAAAAAAAGTTACTTTTCTCTTCGAAAAATACGTAATAACTGATTAATTTCATGTCGATGCTGATATACTTTTCATATACTTTTTCATCTTGCAAAACACTTTATTCATTATTTATCGATAACTTTGACAAACTCGTATCCTCTCAAACTCTCGACAATTTCAAATTGCTTATGAAGCTAATAATCAAACTAGCACCAGAACATTTCCCATTACGCTCTTTCCAAGTGTATGCCTGTGTATGCGTAGCACGTATATGACATGCCTATAAGTATCGCATAGCAATCAGGCACATTTCAACGTACGTAAATCTTGGCGTAAACCCAATTCCGATTGCACAATCCCAACTCAAATCGGCTAGCCGCAATTTCAAATTAATTGAAGGCCGGAAATTGAAATACAACGTTCTCGTTGGATGCTGTGCCAGCCAATCCTCGAATTCCCATTCTCTATTCACCCAATCCCTCAATTCTCTGTCGCTGCTCCCCGCCCCAAATTTCGTCTCCCCTTGTGTGCAGCAACAATTTAAAAATACATGACAAACGCAGTGGAAATTGCAACAAACCAACGACAATCGTCTGAAATGCCCACAACAACAACAGCAACAACAACAACTACGACAACAATCAGTGCCATTTGAGCTGCTGTTTCGTGATGTTGATGTGCTTAATACTTTTAACGTTTCATAGCATTTAATGGCCGGCTGTGAAATGGGCCTGAAAGCAACTGTGTGCCGGCCCTGGCCTCAGCACTTCAGCGTTCGCCTGTGTATATGCAATGCATTTTCTTATAATGCAATTTACTTTTGCAGTTGCAGTTACTTTCCGCTGTCGCCCAATATTCACTCGTCTAGTGGGCGCTTCTGGCTGGGTGGGCGTGGCCTGTCGAACTTGAAGTGCAAGTGTAAAAGTGCCAAAGTGGAGCTTGTCCCTGGCACAAACACATATTTATTTTGGCAGATGGACTGAAAACCAAACCAGAAATGGCAGCACCCAACGCAAACGAAACGAAATACACACAGAGGCACACGCACACACACACACACACACACGCACGACGTACATATCTGCTTTGCCAACAGCTTGTGCAACATTTTTAATGCATTTACAAACACACTTAATACACATACGCACACACACGCACACGCACGCACAGGCACACACTTACTCACACACACACACACTCATAAATGCATTACTCGTGCACATTTTGCTTACCGCCTGTTGGTTGTTGCCAGTTCCCTTTGGCTTAAGTGTGGGCGTGCCCGATTGCCTAATGGACTGTTATGTCTTATACACATCCATATATATATATTATATTTGTCTGTGTGTGTGTTTGTGGGAATCTCTTGAAAGCATATAAAATACTGATTGGTTGACTAATACCTTTACTGCTTGTAAAGCAATCAAGAATTGTACAATAGCAGTTAAAAAATGAAGAAAAGTGTCTGCGTTACGGATACGACAAGTGGGACGGAGGGTTATGTAAAGCTAGTTATGTCTGAAGTAAGTTAGCAGTGGGTGTATTAAAATGAAATGACAGCTGTCACTATCTATCATTATAAAACATGAAATTGATGATAAATTGATATATATATATATATATATATATATATATATGTAGTTCATGCAATTCTAATTGAAAACAATTAACATTTCTGTCGTCACATGAAAATATATAAGAAGAATAGTTTTTCATAAATCATCTTTAGTTATTTTTTTTTTTTTTTTTTTTTTTTTTTTAAGATTAATCAACATATATAAATATATTTTTTTTTATTAATTTTTTTTATTTTTATTTTTTTTTTAGGAGATTTAAAGAAAAATTTACAAAAATAGGGTATAAATATAAAGAAAATGGTTTATTTATATATTTAGAAAAAAGGGCTTAAAATTAAAAACTATATTTTTTTTAAATGTAATTTATTGCACCATATATTCCTATTATATTCAACCTACTACTATACATATATAGTATATATTAAAATAAAAATTCTTGTACTAATTACAAATGTTTCTTAACTCTTTACAGGTCATCAACGTCTCAACGAATACATATCCCACTATGAAACACTTAACTATGATCATGAGCACGTTAGAGCTAGTCACAATAGAGCACGTCGATCGGTGACCAAAGATCATTTTGTATATATAAAATTTGCAGCACATGGAAAGGATTTCCATCTTAGATTAAAACGTGATTTAAATACATTTAGTGATAAGTTAGACGTGAGTATTACAGAGGCCCTATCAAAATATCATTCGTGTATCTAATATAATATTTTTCAGTTTTATGATAACAACGGCCCCATTGATGTCTCAACGGATCATATCTATGAGGGCGATGTGATAGGGGATCGTAATAGTTATGTATTTGGTTCCATACACAATGGGGTATTCGAGGGTAAAATTATAACGGAACGTGATGCCTATTATGTTGAACATGCCAAACATTATTTTCCCACAAATCGGACAACGTCAGCGTCAGCGTCAACGACGACGTCGACGTCGATGCCGACGACAAAGACCACCGCAACTACATTAGCTCCAACAACAACGGAGTCCAATCTGACTAAAACTGCCATTGATAATAAGAGAGAAAAGTTTATGAATCAAATTGATGAAACAACAACAGCAAACACATTCCCAATGTATCCAACCGAAAACAACACCAAACAGTCAGAAGCAACAACAACAACAACAACACCAGCAGCAGCAGCAACTGCAAAGAGAAACGAGGATGAACTTGATTTCCACTCCATTATCTATAAGGAGTCGCATGTTGAGGATGCCTACGAGAATGTGCGCGAAGGTAAGTCAAATAAGAAAAGTGAAAAATGTTCACCGTTATTACGGAAGTGCACAGACACGAGGGTTGGCAAAGAAAAAGGGAGGGGGGGCGACGGGGAGTCAGCTCAAAACTTTGTCATATGATTTATATGCTATGCCATCGTTTTTCTCTCTCTCTCTCTCTCTCTCTCTCTCCTTCTGTGTCCCCACTAACTCCCGCATCGACCTTGAAAATATGTTTGATAACATTTCTGTTCGGCTTTTATGACAGCTGAGCAGTGTCCATTCCCCCCAAGTGTTTGCTAATAATTTTCTTGGTCCCAACGTGTTCGCGGTCTCAACTTGTCAAAGCCAAACAAAAATTGTTCCAGAGTTTTTGGGTCGTATAAACAGCGTTATGTAGCTTACATTTTTGTCGCACAGCTTTGAGGGATGAAGTTTGGCAACAGTGGCTTAATAGCCTTCAACAAATGTGCATTAAACTAACTGTACTAACGAGTTAAGGTGTGGCTGAATCGATAGAGTTTTGGGCTCTTTGCATATTTAATAGAATGAAAAGATAAAGTATAGCATAAATTTTATCCAAAAACAATTAAAGCTTTAAAAAGTATTTTATCAAAAGATTAAGCACAACTTAAATCTTATCGTACAAAAATATATATATGCATTAGGATATATCGTAACAATGAAGGCTTTACAGGGCTTTTTATTATTAATGCCGTAATGCATTAAATAATATTTATAGACAATGTTACTATTGCCTAGCTAGAGCCTGATTATGTTTTTCTATTGATATGAATGTTGCTAGGGGTAAACGTAGTCAAGTTTCTAAAATAATATTATATTATTATAGCTCAACTGAAGCTTGGTAACATTACACAAATTGTGCTTAAAAGTGCGAAAGGTAGCTATTGAAATCAGTATTTCGATTTTAGAAGCTTTTGAGATAGATTATATATCCAGCCGATAATATATTGGCTAAGGTGTATTAGTTTTAAAACCCAATCAGAAGTTTGGTATCACCACATATATATATTATATAATTCTTACTACTATATTATGCTACCTGTTTATTGAACCCAAATTGAGCGACATAAGCCAAATTGAATTGATTGAAGTGATTTAGCTCAAAAGAAATTTGGCAACAGCGTAAGAACTTTAAATTTGAGCATCTTGCATTTTACAGACATAGACTCAATAGGATTGTATTTACATTTAAGCAGCCTACGTTGTAATGAAACATTCCCGATGCAAAACATTCCCGATGCAATGCTTCAAATTTGCTTCAAATTTTTCACCTTTATGTGAGCACCGCATAAATCCTTGAATGTTGCGCTGCTACCTATACCCATTTAAACATAGACATGCAAAGAAATATATGGTACATATGTATACAGTTTTAAATATGTAATAGGAAGTTCGGCAACAATGCTGCATACAATTTTCTTCGCTCGAACAATGCAAAAGGGGAAAAGAAAAATTCTTGCACAAACATTGCAATTCGCTTCATTCCTTCGCAATGCAAGTCGACAGCAGAACTGTGGCACATCTGAGTCACAGTCGCAGTTCGCCGTCACAACAATGACAATGGCAATGAAACTAGCTGCCACATATGTGTGTTCATTGTGCATGCAACAACATTTCTGTTGTTTGTTTGTTATTGTTGTAGCTTGTTGTGTAAGCCATGAAAAAAAGAAAGAAAAAACGGCTGCAACAAAAGTGCTGCCGGCAATGTAAAAAAATAAAATAGAAATACATAAAAAAAAAAAAAAAACAAATAACAAAAACAACAAATCTAATGCATAACTAAACATTTGTAGCATGCGGGGAATACCCCTAATGCTCGCAGGGGAATTGTGGCAAAAAAAGTGTTGCATGCCATTTCATAGACAGACAGGCAGATGAAACAACAACAATAGACAACTTTTGTCGCGTATTTTGTTAAGCTGTGTGTTCGTGTCTAATTTTAGGGGCGTGCCATGTGGGCGTGTGGGCGTGAGTGTGTGCAGTTGAGTGTAATCATTTTAATGAGCTCACACAAAAGCCACTTACATTTCAGCTGGCTTCCAAATAGTTTGTTCGCTGTTGCCGTCTGTTGCATTTGATTGATGCACTTTACACTGATTCTGGCTGATTGTTTAGCTCACTTATATATGTCTCTATCTATCCATCTCTCTCTCTCTCTCTCTCCCTATATATATATATATATATATATATATGTCTGTGCTACATTTAATTAGTTTCGTTTAACTGCTATTGTTGTTTCGACTAGCATATTTTGTGTGTTTAGGATTAGACACGAGCTTTGAGTGTTGTGTCAAAATGTTTCAAAATGCTTGGCATAAATCAGCCTAATTAAAAGTCTTGTCATTTCAATTGATATATTGAATTAATAATATTAACTGGCCTGCGGGGCAAAATGTGTGCGGGTGTCAGTGTGAGTGTATGTGTGTATGCATGTCCACTTAACTAACGGCAAGTCGAGTGTGGCAACAGTGTCAGCTGAAGTGTAATAAAATTTAATGATGCTTATTAAAATGGTAATTATACTAAATAATTTAGGCAATTTTTGAATAATATTTGAATTGAGCATTTAATGATATCAATATATCGATAAAGTGCCTATAGCTAACAATTTATTCTCTACTTGGCAACTTATGCATGGTATATATTAAATTTATATTTTGTTTTTGCAAATTGAAAATTTAATATATCTATTAAGTGAAGTCTGGCAATAGTTCATGATTGCAGTGGATATTGAAATTATTGTAATTATTGGTAATTGTGAAGTTTGGCAACAGCGCCTAGACGTATTATTATTGCAGATGGCAAAATGAAAAACAAATTTTATTATTATTTTATATATCGTTTTTTTGCACTTCTAATAGATTTTTAATTAAGAAAAATTTGGCAACAAGTTTGTTCGTTAATAAAGTGTAGCAAAAAATAAAATTATACTTTGTGAATTGATTTGTAAAAGTAATTAATTCTAGCGAATGCAATTAAAATTGGTTTGCTGAAACAGAACTATAAATTGTGGAAATTGTTTGCTGACAAAACTTCCAATTAGTTGGGATTTATTTAGTTTCGCCAGGCGAATAGAAATCAAACAATAAATAATTTCGCCAAATAAACTTGCATTGTCTGCACTTTGTAACTTTTTTACTACTTTTAAGGGGTTTCACTTTAAAGCTTTCTAATTTATTACCCAAAATAAAAAACTTTTGGTTACAAAAAAAAAAAAAAAAAAAAATATATATATATATATACTGGCAGAAGTTAACTTAAGTAAACCGAAGTGCGTAAAAAGTTCGTGGAACTTGGAACCAAAGAGCAGGACATAAAGTTCGATTAGAGCAAAGTGCGCTGTTGCCATGCTTCACTTGTTGACACCAACACCAACATCAACACAGACACACACACACATACTGACAGAAAGCACAACTTTTTGTGCCCCCAACAGCTCCACGAGAGAAGTCAACAGTAACTCACCCAGTTTTTAGTGCCTTTTATGGCTTAATTGCTGCCCAGCCATTCAGCCAGCGTCTTAAACTGTCCAACTTTATTAGCTACTCTCGCCAGGCACGCACGCAACAAAGTATGAAGAAGAAGGCGAAGGAAGAGGAACAAAAAATCAGCTAGGGTGGCTGCAGTTGCAACTGATCGCTGCATAGTTACCCTATGTGCAGCGTCGAGCTAGATATCCCAACTTGAGACACATAATTAGAGAGAATAAAGAATCATGTAGGGAAAAATTATTATTTTAAAATATGAAAATGTATATACAATATAATATAAAATATTCTATATTCTATTTAAAGTTCAATGCAAATATTATGAAATATCAACTTTAAGAAGAATTGATACAAAGTATATAAGATATAAAATTCATCATGGGAAAAATATAGTCTCATTCTTGATTTTAAAATCTTGTTCGACTTTATAATTGAAAAAATACAATAATATATAGCTTGGTATATGAGATTGAGATGAGATTATTATTGCATAATTGAGTTGAAGTCGATAAGCAGGTGCAAACCTTGATAATATTCGATTAATACCCAATTGTTGCTATGGAATAAACAACTATCAATATTGCTGCTGCTATGTGTATTCAAAGAATATGAAAGAAAAACCAATTTAACCTAATTCAACTGCAAAATATGCTTAAGCTTTTATATGAATTCATCGTAATAATCTACAAAATGTTTAAAGGATTAATATGTATATATTTACTGATATTTATCGGCATCGGTTTATCGATTTCGATTTCTATACTGCCACCCGGTAGAGTGTCTATACTTAAGAACGTATATACTTTCAGTTATCGATAAATAGTTATCAATATAAAAAATTTTATCTGCTCATCGTTTATTTTGACTATACTCTATAGTTCGTTTTCTCTATAGCTGGCACACGCTTATTAATTATTTTCCTATATTCTATATTTCGATATCGATTATCAGGCAGTTTACAGCTAAGTTCTTCGAACTATTAAAGGACAAACTTTTCGCCTTCAGTCTGATGACATACATACGTAAATAGTTTTATTAATTGATACAGGGTATGGTAAGGAAAGAAAACGTTGTCGAGGTGTTTACGCTTGCAAAGCTTATCAAATATGTAGTGCACTACTCTTGGCACCCTTTCGACCAGCCATTCGCTACCCCATTTAATGCCATTTAGCAGCATATTAAGCTTTGTGCTAGAAATGAGCAGTTGCTGCCACAGCAGGCAGCGAGAAGGAGAGAATGAGAGCAGGGGAGAGCAGGAGTGAGAGAGAAGGGAAGTAGAACGTTCAGAATGTGGCGTAGGGCTTATGGCGCCACTTGCGCCCCTACTTTGATTACATTGTTGGGCTATGTGAATGGGTCTCAGAGTGTGCGTGTGCGTGTGCGTATGTGTGCGTGTGTTAAAATCAACCAAGCGAAGACACGCATGTTGCAGGACTCTTGGGCTTGACACACTGCCAGTCAGTTGGCAAGTAGCGAAGCGTACACAAGACGTTCCCACCACACAGCA